TTTTTTTTTTCTCCAAAAAACTTCAAAGCCATATTTTCAGTCGTCTTTTTATGCTCCGTGTTGCATGCTACAGTAGCATTGTGTGAATTCTTGTCCTAGTTCTAATGTCAGCATTTATGGAAAAGATTATTACTACATATTTATTTTGTAAATGTTTGTGTTATTAAGTGCCAGTTAAAATATATTAAAACAGCAATGCTTGCACTGTTATAGCATGTTATAGCTATAGATTAATAGATTATCTGGAACCTCTACAGAGTTGCAGAGAGTTGCAGAATAGGAATTCGTTGTGTGATAATTATAAATGTATTGCAAAGTCTTGCAGTGTATGGCAGTATTTCCCTCTCATTGCCATTTGAAAGATTTTCCTGATGCCTAACCTAAGTTAGTCCAAGTTAGACCTAAGTGCATCCTTTCCCTACACAAATGTAATGTGCAGTGCAGCCTTCTATTTCCTGGAAACTTTGTATATATGTACAAATTCTTATTATACTCTATTTCTGTTCCTCCCTCCTTCCTGCCCTTTCCCCTCACTTCCCTCCCTTTAGACTAAATTCCATCATTTTGGTCTTTGTGCACTCAGCTTCTTTGCTCTCCAGTAAACACTCTTAGTTGGTCCATGTCTTTCTTTAAGTTGGGGGTTAATTCCTGATCTTAATATCAGCTAGACTTTACTAGAGCTGAATGAAAGTGAAAGAATCTGCCCTTTAAAATACAGCTCTTCTGTTTATCTTGCCCAACACAGTATTTGCCTTTTCTGCAGCAGTGACATCTGCTGTATTTTCCAGACCTTCTGCCTAGCTGATTCCACTAGTGCTTGTGCAATTAATTATTCTTAATTAATTGTAGTACATTGTCTGCATCATTATTGGATTTCATTCTATTTATTTCAGACCATTACTCTAGATGATCAAGAGCTTAAAAGCTCCTTTCCTCAGGAGCACTTGCAATGCATTTTCTTCCCAGAGTCAGTTCTTTATTCTGTTTGATATTATCTCCAAATTGAAGTAAAGTGTTTTCTTTTTTTTAATGCTATTACCTAAGTCACAATTGAAATTATTGGGTAGGACATCATCTAGGACACGCTCCAGGGTGTAGATTTTGTAGTTGGATTTGTGAACCACTGATTAGTTTTTAAATTTCTCAGTGAGTTACATTCCCCACTTTATGGTACTTTTTACTTAAACTGCATTTTCCTTGCTTCCTTATGAGAGAGTCTGTGACCAAATCATACTAAAAGTTAAAATATCTGGTATTCCTCCTTTGTCCATAATATCATAGCCCATAATATCCATAATATCTTTGCTTGTCAAGGAAATGGATAAAAATTGATCTAGCAGCACTTATGATGACTGTGCTGATAAACAGATTGGCCATTTGTTACTACTACATCTGGAAAACAGATATTCTACATACATTTTCCTAATCTACCTAAATTGTTCTGCATAACTTTTCATATTCTACATAAAATCTACCTAAATTGTTCTGCATAACTTTTCATATTCTACATAAATTCAGATTTCAACTTCATCATATAGCTGTTTGTGCTACTGATTTGGAGCGTTACCAGCCAAACTGTCTGGGTACCCCTTGATTTTTATATACATGTAGCTCCCTGGTTGCCAGCATTTTTCCTTCAGTCAAGATTTGCACCTTTTTCTTTCCAAGCCCCTTTCTTTTCAGGCCTAGTTCTTCTTTTCAGGAACCCTTCTAAATCGCCTGTTTTCCCAGTCCAAACACTCAGCATCCCTCCTGGAACATCCTGCTAGCAATTACCTGTGGCCTCTTGTTTAATTTCACATTTTTGCCTACAGCACCCAACAGCCTGCATCTTTATCACCACATTGTCTGAGCTGCATTGTCTGAGAATTTTTGTTTTTGGTGTGCATTAAAGTAGATTTTTTTTTTTCTTCTTGAGTGTGCATTAAAGTACAGTAAAGGGTTTTTTTATTCTTTATTTTTCGAGAAATACCAATATAATTGAAATTTAATATCTCTATATGCTTTAGGGAAAAGGAGGTATCCTGAGCATGACTTCTTATTTTTCATTGTTTGTTTGTACTGAAATGGAATGTTTATGTTTAGAAGCTTAATTATGTTGCAGTGGTTAGCTGGCAGATTTTATACTCGGTCTGATATAACCAGGAAAAATAACTACCATATGTTTTCTGACTAATTTATTCACAAGTATTTGGGATAAATGAATTGATATGAGAATGATTAACTGGAAAACAAAACAACATAATTGTATTTAATGAGATAAACTGGGAAAATATTCCACTTTATCGTTCAGATGATGTGAAAGACAAGTTTTTCAGATACTGAGGCATTCATATGGAAAACAGTTTTTGCTTAGAATATAGCACAGTACTTGGTCATATATTGAATTAATTTTTAAAAATGTGATCAATTATTAATATTCTAGTTACTTTCCCAGTGGTTTTTTTGGTACATTCTTTTCCACTGCAGCAGGGCGTTTATTGTAACAGCCGAAGAAATAATCGCCAGGCACCCTGCTCGAAAGCGTTTTGTGGGAGTAATGTTACAGCTGTAGTGCTTAGCTGCAGCGCATGCAATATCTTTATTCTCACATCAGTGGAAATTATAAAAAAAGAACTCTTTGAACTGTGACTGCTGCTGAGAAGTTTGCCAAAGCAGCAGGACGCAAGTTTGATCTTCTATGTATGGTATATTTTTAATAGCCCCTTGAGTCATTTTCTGGGGCTGCTTATTGAATGCTTATGCTAAGAAGCACCACTTTTGCCTACAAAGTGTTTTTTTTTTTTTTCTTTTCTTTCTTTTTTTTTTTTTTTTNTTTTTTTTTTTTTTTTTCCCCTGAATGACCACTTTCTTATCCTGCAGATAAATGTCATATCGTAGTAATGCTTGTATGGAGTTACCTTATAAATAATTCTTTTGGGGTTTGGGTTGCTAATGGAAGACTTGATTCCTCCATAAGATTCTTTTACTTCTGAAGTCAGCAAAAGATAATCCTGAAACTATGACACATCGTGGTAAAGTTCTTTTATTTTTGTGGTGGAAAAGACTTCCATTCTTAATCCTTTCTGAAAGGATACTTTTTGGGAAAATTTCATTCAAAATAGTTACCCATTTTGGAGAGATGCTTTCAAAACAATGATTTTAATGTGCATCACAACCTCACTTTTGGATGTTTTTCTTGCGTTTGTTTTTATTTGAAGTTTTAATTTTAATTTCAAATAAAATTAATTAATAGAATGTCATCTGAGCATGTTTTCTGTTTAATAATTTGCCCTTCGATTAGTTAATTTCTTACAGTTGTCTCGACTAGTTTATTTCTTAAATTTGGTTTGAAACATAGTATTTAGAATATCTGCAAAACAAATGTATATAAGCCTGAGACTTGTCAATTTGGTTTAAATGGAGAGTTGCATAACCAAACATATCGGTAGCTGAGAAGAGCTATTTGCTTGTTTGATTTAATCATACTTCTTGGAACACATTAAAACTCTGCTCTGATTGATGTGATTGAGCTGATACCAGTAATTTACGATCTAACATTAATAACATAATCTCTAACTAATTCTTCCTTGTGGAAAAACTGGCAGTTTTCAACTTAGTATCAAACGAAGCAGGCCAATGGATAAAGCCAACTTTATGTGACTTAATTCATATAAAGTCAGTTCTAGTAAAAGGCAACTATGCTGAAGATTTGTGATATCTTCACATACATGGATGGTAACCAGTGCCTCAAGATGAGGATTTCTTTTCCAGTTTGAATGTTTTTGGATTTGTGGCCTGGCTTTTGGGCAGTAGCTTGAATGGTAACATTGGTCTGGCCCCCATCTAGGTTCTGTTATTACAACTGAATGCACTTAGAAGTAAATTTTTAACCTAAAGAAGTAGATATTTAACCTAAGAAATTTTATGATGTTCGAAATATAGAAGCCCGTTTGCTTTCTGTGCTGATGATAGCTGGCCTTGCTGTTCATAAGGTATCAAACATGCACCAAGACACTCTCTCAGCCTTAAAATCATTGGTAACAGTGAGTGGAATTAATAGCTCAATGGCATTACATTGTTCAGAAGAACAATAGATTCAACTTTCTTGGTAATTAACTTAATATTGTATTCCAGAGGTGTGGGGTATCCAGCTTTTATTCCTCTTCACTTTGACTTCTATTTAGTGCATGGTCCTTCTCTTTGTAAAAGTGCTGTTCCTTAGAACTGCTGCTGTTTGTGGCCCTGCTTTCAGGCGTTTATTCTCCTTGTAGACTAAGGCTCTTAATAAGTGCGGAGTCTAACAGAAGATTTTTTGCTTGTGCTGTATAAAATTGTTTATGGTACTTGTATTTTCAAAATCTTCTTTTGCTAATGAAGATAGTGGAATGTCCTCAACATCATTTCATTACTATGGTAGCCGTTTGTTTTTTCAAATTTTTATCTTCTATTGTTAGCATTTGTGAAGCGAACACACACTTAAAAATTTTGTTGCACCATAGCACTGAGATATTTATAACATACGAGATTTAGGTTCACGTATTTTTCAGCCAAGGATGCTTCAAATTTTACTCTGAGTGAAAAGCATAAGCCCAGTCTAGCTGAAAATTTTGCCAATGGCTGAGCTCCACAATGCTGTCAAAGTTAGGGAGCTTGGATGTGAGATGATGAAGAAAATAAAGAAAATAATACAATGGGTGCTTTTGGGATCATAATTAGATGAAAATGCAGATACCTTAACAGAAAAGGTCTGACTCAGTAATTCATTAATTGTGTCCACACATGTGTCTACAATAATAATCCAAAAATAAAATAAGATCCAAATAAGATAATCCAAAATATAATAAGACAGCTTAGGTGATAAAGAATCAAGTTCATCCTGCATATTTTTATTTTATTTTATTTTATTTTATTTTATTTTATTTTATTTTATTTTATTTTATTTTATTTTATTTTATTTTATTTTATTTTATTTTATTTTATTTTATTTTATTTTATTTTATTTTATTTTTTTACATCAGGTGGAATACCACCAATGAGATGGATAATAAATTTTGACCGAGATCTTCTAGATGGTCTAGTATTGGCAGCACAACTAGCAGCTTACTGCCCATTTTTGGTAAGGACTTCTTGATATATTCTATGTTTTATATATAAGGCAATACTAATGTAAATTTGCAACTGTTGGCTTTTATGGTTTTTAAAAAGAAACAACAATTTGGAAGTCTGGAGTGATTATTTCGGTGATTTATTTGGCTATATTCTTAATAACAATTTTTTTTTTTTGAAATTTATCTTACAGATTGCTGCAAGAGGGCAAGTAGAAATTTTGTGGTTTTACTCAGGGTAATATAAGAGTTTGATTTCTGTGTTCCTCCCCAGATTGCTACTCACTTTGTAAGGATGTATACTACTATAGAAACTGCTGAGCAGTGTCTACACAATTGTTTGATACTTGTGGATGCTATGCATGCTGTCAGTCTGGCTATAGGCATAAAGGTAAATGATTTTATACCATCAGTATTTAAATAATTTGGTTTTTTTTTTAACTTCTATGATAATAATATTTTATGTACAGGTAAGAAGAGATTTCAGTTGAACAGTTTTTTTCATAGTTATATATAAGGACAGCTGAAATGCTGCATCATATAAAATTACTTAATTTCAAGTAATTATTGTGGTTTCTTGATTTGTAGAATACAGCAACTAGTTGAACATAAAATTAATTCCATTAAAATTTTAGCATCATAATCACGAAATCAATGGAATATGTTACTAATATTCTAAGGCAATTTAGAAAAAATATATTTAGAAGCAGATATCATGCATGTAAGCATAAAAAGAGTGTTAATAATTTTAAAAATGCCAGGTGGATCTAAATCATGTAGGCCCATTAGCAATCTGTCTCTGATTTGATGCACACAAGATGCTTTGATGCTAGAAGCTTTGGACTGCTGGAGAGGGATGCTGTAGGTCGTCAGCCTCTGGAGTCGTTTGTTGGGAGAAATATGATGATGTTGATTTTTTGTCATTGTCCAACTGGTGTTCCCCAATAGAAAAGTATAGTGTGGGAAACATTCCAGCTGGCTTTTCTGGTAGCAAATAATTATCCTTTTTATTTCAGCACTAAATATCTTTTTTTTTTTTTTTTTTTTTTTTTTTTTTTTTTTTTTTTTAATGTGAATTACAGCAAACATGCCTATCTCTGTCTCTCTCTCCCTATATTTTTGCTGTGGTTGTCTTGTATGCAGGTGGCAGTACTGCTATCGTCTGGACACAGGAAAATAGGGAAGGGCCTGCAGGCATCTATCCTTGGCCAGGTGCTGAATTATCAGCTGTAGCTGTCCCTTCTCTCAGAAGGGAACTTGAGATGCTCACCTTCCCTTTTGGGTAGGGAAAACCTTCCTGTGTGCAGAAACTGCCGTGCTTGTATGTGGAAACCCTCTTTCCATTCTCCTCCAAATGACTTTCAACTGAAAATATGTTTTTTGTAAAAGCTACTGATGGGGAGGGCAACATGCCACGACACATCTGAATAGTTGTTTCTTTTGAGACTTGGTTTATTACATGGAATTCTTTCCCATTCTTAGTGACAGAGGCAAAGAAGCAAAATATTTATATGAATGATTATTTTGTTGCTAAAGAAAGAGTTTTCTGGTAAGAACTTTCAGAAAGTATCAAATCTTTTCAAAGTGGCAACAGTGCTTTCAAAATAATCTAAGAACATCTATATTTTTTTCACATCTAGCCTACCTGATTTTACGATTAGGTGTATCTTTAAAGGAAATAATTTAACACATAAAGGAAATAATTGAACTATCCCTAACATTTGATCTTTTTCATCTTTAAAGAGAACTTAAAACTATTATCTGGTGGGCTGATACCATGCCTCTTTGGCATGGTAGAACAGACACACACACACACACACACACACACACATATATATATATATCAGCTAAAGTTAACACAGTGATATATAAAATACTTATTTCTGACTAACTTCACATCACTTGTTTCAGACAGTAAATTGTGGTTTTGCATATAACATTACAACTCTCTCTGTAATTTAAAAGCAAGAAGCTCTTGGCTTTCATCAAATTCTAATTATTAGTCATTTACATAGTGTTCCACCTATACTTGGATCTGATTCCAGAATTCCTATTGCTATTGGATCAGCCAAACTGCAGTTTCCAATTGTACCAGCTGCTATTATTCTACTCTCACATCCTGATATAGATGTGCTATTATTAAAGACCTGGCTATTACAAGCCAAGGCAAGAAAATCTGCTACTCCATATACTTGTGATTGACAGGAAGCATAAGAAGAAGATTGTATGGATACAATCCATAAAATAGAAGCACACTTTGCCTGGGGTTTTAATAATAAAAACAAGCAGTGTGGCACATGAAAGAAGAGGCTGGATGCCTCATAACTAACCACATTCTAGGTGGAAGCCGGACTCCTTATTGCACTTAGAGATTTATTTTAAGACTATAAGACTTATAAGTCTTACTTTAAGACTACAGTGCAGTAATAATATTAACTATCAGTATTTTCCTGCATCCAGATGCAGGACTTTGTGCTTCCCTTTGTTGGACTATGTGAGATTTCTGCTGGCCCCCTTCTTCAGCCTGTCGAGGCCCCTCTGAATGCCAGCACAGCCCTGGGGGCTCTCGGCCACTGCTCCCCATTTTGTTTCACCTGCAGACCTCCTTACAGGGCATTTGGTCCATCACCCAGGTCATTACTGAAGAGGTTCAAGAGCACTGCTAATCCCTGTTGATCCCTGTTGATCCCTGTGGCATCCTCCAGCTCAGCCTTCTGAGTCCATCACTTGAGTCAGTTTTTCATCCACCCCTCTCACTACTTATTTATTATCTGCTTGTCTATGAAGATGTTTTATACAGTGTCAAAAGCCATTCTCAGTTCAAGGTAAACAATATCCCCTGCTCTTTCCCTTCATCTGCCAAGCCTTCTTATCAGGTTGGTCGAACATGATTTCTCCCTTGTAAATCCATGCTGACTATTCCTGGTTACCTTCATGTATCTGGGAACAGTAGCCAGGATTATTTGCTTCACCATCTTCCCAGGCATCAAGGTGAGGCTGACCAACCTGCAGTTTTTCACATCTTCCTTATCTTTCTGGAAGATAGGCTTTGTTCTAAGTACCAAAATAACTACCTGATTTTTTTTTCAGACTGACTGACCGTCTCCTTCTCACATTAACTTCTAATTTACTGAAAACTCACGTGCTTCACTTAAGCAAAACCTACTTAAAATTAGGAACCTGCATTTGTTCACAAATCACATTTTCCTATGTGTTTTGCCTTCAAGTTTTATGTTTAAGCCTTGCAACCTAGTAGTACCTCAGAAAGACTGAACATACAGCTTTCTGTTTCTGAAATGAAGTGTTATACTTTTTTGTTATCTGCTGCTGATCTAATCTTGTTGCCATAGTTTTCAGTAGTCATTTGCCATTCTTGATTTAAATTGGATACATAGTGAACATCCATCTGAGGGCCATGGATTCTAAGCCTTTCTATTTTCCTGTTACTAGCATGTTGCCAGAAGCTATTATTTGGTTTAATAGGTCCATTTTCATCGTTATTTTGTAAATTTATTAGTGGGGAAACCTTCTGCCTGATTTTTGAGTCTGTTATATAGTTCACTTAATTATATAGTCCAACTAATAATTAGATGCTCAGCAAAGAGGGGAATGTTATTTGCTCCAAGAAGTGGTTCAGCAATCACCTCCTTCCTGGTATCTTTTCATAAAGATTTTCTCTATTATTTTCTGTCTGCCAGAATGCTGGCTCATAATAACTGTGATTATTTTGTATTTAGAACAACCTAAGCCATATTTTATTTTTATGTTCCATCTAGATTGACCCATGTTTGTTTATAATATGCTTATAATAGCAATCAATCCACCACATTTTGCTGTGCTAATAAATGAGAGTAGCCAGCATTTTCAAATATTATGGAGTGACTCAGTGACAGATACTGCCATTTGATTTTTGTATTCGATTAGAAACATATTTTCATAAAATACATGAGACTGTAAAATAGAAGCTGCTCCTTTAGCAGTAGTATTAGCAGTACTGAAGGCCTGGTTTTATTAATATACGGATGCTTGGAAATTTGTAGAGTTGCCTATGGGAAAAAAGAACAGAGTGGATATTATTATAGGAATGGAGTGACTCTTTCTGCAACAAAACAAGTCTACTAGCTCTTGAATTTCCTCCCTAGCTTTGTCATATTTTTTTCACTTGGAATATCTTGAATTGAAGTTACAGTAATTTATCTAGTTCAGCTGTTCCAAGCTTCTATTTTAACTACCCAGGATTTGAATACCTATACAAAAAAACAAGCAGACACCAAGCTCCAAGATATGAGATTTTTCTTCCTGTATTTATGGAAATTTGTTATGGATACAACTTACAACAGAAATCTCTAAAACATTATTAATTGCTTGCTTACAGGCTTACAAATTCAGTGCAGAATAAAAAAGAGTACTTTCTAAGTGAATAAAGGCTGATCTGAGTAAAAATAAGTAGTAGTAGGGAGAAAAAGAGAGGAAAGTTAGGCTTTAGCAGGAAAATTTCTCATGCATCTTTCAGAAAATGAAGGAAATATAAATAGTAGAGGTCAGAAAACACAATATATTGGAATAACTTGTTTAGATTCAGTAGCTATTACCGAGATAAGTGAATGAAAAATGTCAGAATATTTTTCACACTACAGGTTGAAAGGCCTTGTCATGAAAGAAACTTTTTTCTTTGCATAGTAAGTGCATCCAAAAATCTCAACCTTAGAAAAGAATGATGTTGGAAATAACTCAGAAGATGAGGCACATGTTTACATCTGTGCATGATGGGCGTATGAGCTGAATCTTAAAAGTTAGGCAACTGGGGAGAGTGATAGGGAAGGTTTAGATGGGCACCTCGCGCCTGTTCGCTTTCTCAGACTGCTGGGGAGGTCTGGAAGCAGCAGGGGATGCCTGGCCGGGGGGCACAGGGCAAGACGGGAGGGGAGGAAACAGTCAGCTGCTCTTCCTGCCCTTGTGCCCCATGGAAACAATGGATTTGTCACCAGATAAGCATCAACTCTGGCTTTTCTGTGGAGTCTCTTGCCTGTCTCAAAACTGATAAAGCAGAAGGAAAAGTAAGAAATGGGGAACTTACCTAGTGAGGCATGATATGAATTTGATACAATTCTGGATTAAAATGGGGTAAGGCTTTCTGTTTTCTAATATATCTTGCTGGTTTTCTCCTTTATTTCTGTCTTACTTTGTACCAAACAGAAAAGGTTCCTACTGTGTATTTTACGAAGTACACAGAACATGTTCCTGCAAGATTATAGGTAATTTGGTTGGTGCTGAACTTCCCTGGCAAATGTGGTAAGCTTTCAGCTACTATATCGTCTTCCTTTATCTAATGTTTATTTCAAGAAGGGGCTGCTATAGTTTCTTCTGAAGTTTTAGTTTAGGAGTCAAGGCTCAACATCTATCCCAGTACTCAGGTTCTCTCTCTCTTTTATGTCACTGCCCATATGTTTTAGGGTGAGATTCTTCTTACTAGTGTGGACAGTAGGAACTTGTCTGCTCTTTGATTGTTTTTCTGGAATATCTGTCATAGAATAGTGAATGATGTATGCCAGGAGGAACATCTAGAGGTCAAAACCCCTGCTCCAAGTTTAAACCTAAACAAACCTGGTTCTTTCAGCCGTTCCTCATATATTAGGTAGTCCGGACCCTTAATCATGTGGATGCCTCTGCTCTGGATTTGCTCAAGTGTGTCAGTGTCTGCCTGGGCTGGACATAGGACTGAAGATTCAGCACAGGAGCAGAGTATAGAGAAAGAATCACTTCCCTATCACTTCCCTCAACCCGTAGGCTACAGTCTTGCCCTTACAGCCCAGAACATGTCTAGCTTTCAGCACACTGGCTGAATTTGCCTTTTCTGCAGGAAAAGGTTGTTTCTCGGCCTGTAGTTTCAGCCTTTTTCTGTCAAATTGTCTTTTCTTTTGTAGCTTGTTCATTAGAATAGTATAACTCCTTTTCCTCACATATTACTTACATATCTGTAAGACATAGCCTTTTCATGAAATTTTTCCCAGGTGTTCATGATAGGCATAATACAGCCCAGTACATTTTTGGGAAAACATTTTTGTTGTAAAGTCACTGAAAGTTCACAGTGTTTGAAAATTCAGTTTTCATAGCAATAGCTTAGAGAAGATGTATATCTAGGTGCATCACACTTTCTTAATGACGTCTATCTCATTACCTCAATGTTATGGAACACACTTAAAATTTATTCTCTGCAGGCTGTAACAATAACCACTTCTATGTTTTTCATTGTGGAAGTACTTTTGATAGAACAGTGCTGAAAGTATTGTATTTTCAACTAGATGTAGTCTCTCTAATGAGAATTGTATTTAGATTGTGTATCAGTACTGTGATATAAATTCAGTGGTTCCTCCTTTATAAACACGGATACTGTGTGACCAAATATCCAGCCTGTGGTAGTGTCAGATGCCCCCCAGGGCTGCTCCACCTGGGGCACTGCTCTCTTGGGGTTTGTATTTTTAATATTGTCCTGTGTTTTATTAGTAGTGCAAAACTAAATGTGTGCTACAGGAGTCTTTAGAATCCTAGGTCAACCTGTAATGCAAAATAATGTTATATTGTTTATGATTTGTCTGTCCATATCCTTCAAAAAGGATATAAAAGTTTAAACAGCTAATAACTAGAGATGAGTCGTTTTCCTGTTTGCGAGTGTGTTGGAATATGGCAGTTTTACAACATAAAGTCTGGAAATTTAAAAGTAACTTTCATCTATTTTTTAGCCTGGTGAGACTACAAAGACATACTCTTTATGCATATAAAATATTTCCAAGCAGTGTGAGGGTCAAGATTAAAATATCAAAAGATGCCCTCTGTCTCTCTTTGTGATTTGCAGTTGCAAATTCATGATAAGAAGAAATCATGTAAAGAAGGAAGCTTCATTATGGGCTGATGCAAGTGGGATGGGGCTAAATCTAGTTACATGCAGCTCATCCGAGTTGTTTAGGGAGTGAGACAGTCAGGAGCAGCATAGGAGACCAGTGCTTTGCTTGGGACTTGGGGAAGTTTTTGCCTGTAGGATGAGAAGATTTAACATGATAGTCGCATTCTAGGAGTCCGGCAAAAGCGGGTCTTTCTCAAAATATTGCTGTATCAAAGGAGTCTCAGTTATGTAAGGAACCCAAATGAAGCTTTAAATTACTTAATATTAATTTGAAATAAATAATTGATTCAGGAAGTATGTTTGTTTGAATCTGTAGCCAGAAACATCCTGCATGTATCTATGCGTGAAGTCTCTCTGCTATTTGATGATACTTCTGACAGGTCCAAGTGTTTGTGGGAAGAGCTTGTAGTGTTTCTTCTCACTGCCTTTGTAGAATCTGAAGACTAAAAACTTGACCTGTTTTGCAGTTGTCATTTAAATTCATTTCACTAGATTAAATATTAAAATGTAAATGCTACTTTTTGTAAGCAATTGGATATCTCCGATAGGTGTGACTATATAGACTTGAGGTCCTAATGTTAGATAGTGTTTACATCTTCATAAATAATTACAAAACTATGTCTAGGTTTACCTACGTTTATTTATTTAAAATGAACATCTATTTTTCCTGGATTCTAGGGGTAAAAAAAAAAAGTTTTATTTTTTAATCTAGGTTAATTACTGGAGTGTATCAGTACTCTTTTTTATTTTAGTGCACTGACAAGATTCATATTCATCTTAGTCATGCATCAATCCAAATATTAAAAGTTAAGTTGAAAATATTTGCATAATAAGAATCACCTTATGCTTTTTATTCCTTTCTCTTATCTCTAAAGTATACAGGTGAAATTTTAACCGAATATCTGGTAATTGTTACTTTTCTGTTTTGACATCAGGCCACAGACATCTGTGATCCGAACCCAGTCATGATGCTTATTCTGTGTGTTTACTTGTACGAAAGGCTCCCTTACTACTTGCCCAAGAAGACTATTGAATTTACAGGTGCTTTCCATGCAACTGTTGTTAAAAAGGTACTGACACCACTGCAGTAGTAAAAGGTTAAAAAAAAAAAAAGAAATCTGTATGCATGTATGTGTTTGTATTATGTATGTACACAGGAAAGAGTGAATGGGCTCCATGCAGTTTCTCTGGTTAATGCAGAAATGAAGGAATCTCTCTTCACTTCTCTTCCTTCATATTGTGATCCTGAATTCAGTTGCCTTTTTTTTTTTTCTTCTTCTTCCCCTATGCTCTTAATGAGTACAGAAAATATACAAAAGTGACAGTGGTTTCACAGACCAAAGACAGGAATAAGAGATTAACAGTTGAGGTAGAAGTGCAGTGTATTCTGCATAAAGATTGCTTAGAAAAATGAGGCTTGGACAGCCTGGGAATTTTATGCTTCTTAGGGAGAAGAGTGACTTCCTTACTTATTTGAAGTATTTTCTTCCTTTATGACATCCTTATTTTGTATTTTGGAAGATATTTGGGGAACATACTTCTATGATCTAAAGACTGAATAAAAATTGGCTAAGTTTTTATAATGTTTTGTTGTGATAGGTGCATCTGGAAAATCCAAGCATTAAAACTTTGATGTACAACGCTACTTTAGTAGGAAGAGAGGCTGATGATTTCTCATTACCTGAAGGAAATACTGTCATCATTCCTCCTAAGTAAGTAATGATTTGTGGAGTATTATTAAAAGTTCACTAACATGGAAATATAAATCTACTATTTCAACTATGGTGGAATGCTAGAAGCATGCTTGACTACAAAGAAGGAAAAATGATCAATTTAAGGATCATCTATTTCCTCTTTAATCTGGCACAAATCCAGTGGAATTCATCAATGGCATGCTTGCAGTTTGACCTACTAGACTATTGAGAACAGAGTGCACGTCTTCAGATTACTATAGGAGGCACCTATATTCATAAATGTTTTTGTTCCTCTGTGATGAAAGTTTAATTTTCAATTTGGATTTGCTATTCTTATATTTTCTTTCCCCAGCTAAAGCAGTTCTGTCTGAACTGAATTCACATGCATGAGCAGATAAAAATTCTTTCCTATGAGACTTTAGTTTTTGTTTCTTATTCTTATTTTGAAAGATGACTGGAAGTTTAGCTCCTGACAGAGATTTGGAAGTGTAATAATAGTGTTGGTTTGGAAGTGCTAGCAAAGTGAATAATAAACCAACAAACATCTCTGTTTAATTGGCTCATGGTTGCAAGTGCTGGTTTACATTCAGTTGTAGGAGATCAAGAAAAATGGATTTCTTGGAGAGAATCTTGTGGATTTTTATAATATTTTTATTTTTGAAAGGATGAAAGTCTTTAGGAAAAACTTGGAAAGGAGGTAACCTTGTAACAGAATTCTACGAGGAAATACAAGTATTTTGAACCTAAAAAAATGTAGCCTGTTTGGAAAGAAAATATGTAAGAATAACTGGGAAGACACCTATGTTATATTTTTTTCTAATGTTATAAATACGGATAATAAGGAAGACAAATCAGTGTGTTAAATTTCTACAAATTAGGAAAGCCTAGCTACCGAATCAGAGAACAAGATGAATTACACCTTAAAAAAACTTTCAGAATATTAAACTTCAAAAACTTTTATGGATATCTATATTGCCCTTGTTCCTATGCTCTATGATTATATGTTGCTAACGTAGGGATATTGCACACAAACATGGGCATGTGTTCAGTAATAGTTCCTCTGGCACTCCAAGCTAGCTTGATGCTAGCCAGCTTTGGACTCAAAAACATTTTGAACTTTAGAACAAGGGTATTTTGGAGATGATGTGGAGTTTGTCCCTTCCCTCTCTCCCCGCCTCCCTCCCTCCTTCTCTCCCTTCCTGCCTTGCTTCCTGCCTTCCTTCCTTCCGACTAGTACCATGCAATTAACAAAAAAAAGAAAAAGATATAAAATGAAAGGATAGTACCTTGTTGTGTAGAGTACAACGACAAATGGGGAAAAAATCTATCTGAATGAACTAGCTGAATGACAAATTCTTTGAATGTAAGGGTTTTGCAAACCACAGCATTATTAAAAGTAGACAAGAAATGACCTCAGACAACCATCTGCTTCAGATTAGTGTGGGTTGCATGTAGTGGCCTGCAGTGTGCAACTTCTTCAGGCTTACAGTATTTTCTTTAGGTCTTGAGCTCTGTAAATTTGGTAATTCCAAGCAACTTTTTTTATCCTTTTCTTCCGACCAGCAGTAGTTGGGTTTAATGGATTAGAGAGAGAAGCTGGCTGCCTGCTTTTTGGCAGATAGCGCAGGCCAATATTAAACCTGATAAACTCCCACAGTATATCAGTAGAAGTGAACATGGATGGAAGTAGCTGTTAAAAGAGGAGATGGTCGGGTCAGAGGGTGGATGTTTGAGGCAGCACGCTCCTCTGGGTCTGCTGTCCCAGGACACCTTGTCCAGCACATGCTGAAGGGCAGCCCAGGAACCCCAGGGTTGGGGGAATTCAGCAGCTGTTCCCTGGCCAGGACTGTAACATCTGGGAGCTCTGCAGCAGGGACATAAAAGCTGTAAGAGATTTTCAGAATGTCTATAATCAGCAGATCTGGGAACCGAGATGCTGAGATGTTTGGTGCTAAGGAAGAACTCTTTTGAGTGTTGCACTCGTTTCTTTTTGTCATGAAACCAGGAGAGATCAAGCTGAGTTCAGCTTTTTAAACGTGTTCATGGAGTGCCCCAAGTCAAGCAGCAGCTTCCTCTTAGAGATGATTGGAAGCTCTGTAATTTCTGGATCTATGTGAGCCTCCCAATAGGCTGCAGTGAGCTCTGGAAGTGCTGGCCTTTCCTTAAGTTTAGACAGTGCTCTAGCCAGGGTAGGCTCATGCATGTTTGAAGAAGGCTTTTGTTCTTTTCTGTGTAGCTACTTCATTTCATTTAAAATTCATGTATTTCACAACATTATGACAATTTTGGTAGGACAGATTTCCACAAAGGATTAGTTTAAATTTAACCTAACGTTGCACTACATATGCTTTTTTATCTCTATCCCAACTGCAAAATAAAATGTCAACTTAAATCTCTTCAGTTTTCATGATCAATCACTATTACTAGGCTTTTCTAAGGGATGACTTCTACTTACTGTGGGAAGCTAAAGTGACCCTTTGTTCTGGATAGCATTTGAAGAAGTTCACTATTTTATTTAAAGCCTAGTTTAATGTGGTATTTTACAGAGCCTGCCCTTCAGAATGCATTTTGTAACTAAATTGTCCAAATTCAGTTTTGCCAGCCTTTCAGAAGTCATTTCAATTTGTTAAACAGAGCTCCCTGATAGTGATGAAACATCCATGAATATATTTATTCTTTATTTCACTTCAGATGATTGTGGTTCAGGTGATTGTGGTGCACTGTGATTTGAGCAAGTGTAGATAGCACAGATGATTGTTATATATTCATTATCAATTTTGATATCTCTTTAATTTTTATTGTTTATTTTAAGGAAGCTTGGTTTCTTTGGGGTGATTGCAAAATTGTCAGTTTCATCAGGTATAAATATTGTAGAATTACTTTAATATTGAATTAAATATTGTGAAGATGATTTGTAATCTACTGATTGCAATACAAAAAGACCTGGAAAAAATGATGGTTTTAAGCTAATATTTAAAATGTGAACAGCCATTACATGTGATTTTAATAGACAGCTAGAATGTTGACCACAAAACAAGTAATTTGCAAATCAGTACATTTTTGAAAAAAGCTGAGGAAAGTCCTTCTTGAGTTGAGTGGATCCCAGAGCTAGGAGAGATGTATATTTATAAACTCTCCCTTTCTTTGTTTTCCTTGCCATCCACTGAAGTGGGGAAATGGCAGCAGGAAAACAGCCATGGAGGGTCAGACCAGTATTTTGTCTCCTGCTGTAGTCAGAGGAGACATTGCCATCCAGCAGGTAGATCCCCAGGTGAGACTCATCTGTTGCATTTTAGATATGCTGAGCTCTGTGATCTCACAAAATGTAGAAAACTTGCATGTATCTCTATGTATTTATATATATATATATATATATATATATAATATTTTTAACAGTTTTTTTACTACATTGGATTAACTACATATACGTGAAAGCCTAAGCCAGTCAGGTGACTTTTCAGTTTGTATTTTGAGGTATTCTGTTAGCAACTCTAAAAGAAATAGGTCTCGTACTATATAGAGAAAGCTCTTTGTGACAACTTTAACAGCTTTAACAATTATTAATTGTTATTGTTATTTTTTACCTAGAGGGCAAGCGAGTGTAAATGTGGAATTCACTAGTCGTTTTCTGCACCCTGCTGAGGCGATGTTGCTGCTGGTTTCAAAGACCGTGGGTGGAATAGGCGGTGCCACGCTGGCCTTCTCTCTGAAAGCTAAAATCACACGTGTTGAGCCTGCCGTAAGTTTGTGTTTGTGTAATTAATCCTGCCACAAAAATACTGTTGAGTAGTATCGTGTATCAAACACAAGAGAACTGGAGTAAGATATAAAAATGGGTGATTGTTAATGCCTTTCAGCTATTAATTTTCAAGGATTCAATTTAGGCTATATATGTGCAAAGAAGTGCCTAGGGGAATAGCTGGTGATATATTAGGACCCTTAATAAATTTTAAAATTTTGCTCTGATTGCACTAAAAATTGAACTGCAGTCCTTTTAGCATATGAATGCTTTTGAAAATGTCATTGTTGTGCTGATGTGGTGATATGCCTTTTCCAGGGATTTCAGGTCAAATGGATAGCAAAGTTCTTTAGAAGCTCCTGCGTTTACTTAAGGCAATCCTTAGATCTAAGATACATTGTAGAAATAGAGCAGGGACTGGTATGCTGTCCAACATTGGTTATCAAACATTTTTCTGAACACACCTGGATAGGTCCTCTCCTGAACTCGGCGAGTGTTTGTGACATTTTTGCTTTTTGTAAAAAAAAAAATAATGGGATTGTAACAGTAGATAATGATATGAAAAAGGAAGGTTGGGATGGCAGGAAAGACAACAGAGCACATGGCAAAATCAAACAGCAAGAAAATAGCTTGATTCATGTCCCTGTGTTGTCATTCTGAAGAACATTTAAAAGGTGATGAAAGTAATTCATATTTAAAAAGAAATTGGCTTTAAGTATTCTTTACTGGGAACAAAACCTAACATTATAATTATTTTAATTCTTTAGTCATCAGTGGCTAAATACATAGTTTTATGCTTGGTCGTATTTTTCTCTTTGCCAGTGTTTAAGCATGAATATCGTTTGCAACTTTTGATGTAATTGACATACTAACTTAAATTTTTGTTCTATTTTAGGGTGTCTTAAAATGCAAATCTCCATGTTATGAACTGAAGAAAGTTATACTATGCGTTACTAATCCCTTCAGAACTGATGGCATATTCAGGTAGACAATTCCATAAAGGCAAATCTATAATGATCATGCTGTTACATCATCTCTTTTTCATCATTTTCTCCTTCTAATTAAAGAGTAAAACTTTGGGATTAAATTATAGGGATTTACATTGTCAAAATTGTTAGAAATACTCTGAAATGGAAACTTTACTCATCATAATAAGTGAATAAGACAAATAAACCTTATTTGAAATCCATCTCAGTGTAAGCAATAAGTTAGAACTTCAATGGAGTTCATGAACCTTGCTTGTATTTTTGTGTTTGGCTGAGGTGCAGCAGAACTCCGAAGAGAAATAAACCATGTTAATTAATAGTTGTGTTTTTTTTCTCCCCCAATCTGCTTTATCCTGCTGTTTTAATTATTAAACATGCAAAAGAATGATTTTCTTTTCCCTTGGGTCTAGCATTGCTATAAGGTAATGTAATGCAACTGATGTAACACCAGATGTGACACCTCCAAAGTTATAAACATTATTTTCCTAACCTGAAATGAAGAGAATACTGCACCTCTACCATCTAATTTTATGTGATCTGGCTCCGTATTTGTCTTTACTCTTTAGAGCAGTCATTCATTTATTTATGAGAATGTTTTCCATAACATGTTTTTGCTTCTTTAATCAGTTCTATGTTGTGGCTAACTCTATCGGAAAAAAAAATGTTATGGTGATTTGATAATTTAATTTTGTATATACCTTTTAATAGTTTCATGAGAAGTTCCTGAAGAAATGAGGTGTCCCTGCTTGAGCAGGGAGGGGTGGACTAGAGGTCCCTTCCAACCTTAACCATTCTGTGATTTGGGGAAATTATCTATTTTGGCCATATTTGAACCAGTAACATACAAATGAAAGATTTTTTTTTTTTAAAGCTTATTTTCAAAGTTCTAAGATATCTAGTTTTTCAAATACGTAACAAATGTCAGGTATTTACAAAAACTATATACAGTGTATCCTAAACCAGCTATTTCCTGACATTCTGCTGTTTGTTGTGATACTTGTGCTGTCAACTAAGAGCATGTCTATGTCTTCTGGTTTTACAGTTTAAGGATTATAACACTCATGTATAGATAAATATCTTAAAGATCACTGAATAGTTGTACTTCATTAAGTAAAATAATTTAAATACTTTCAGAATCCTCAGATACTTTTCTCTGTGTAGCGCTGTACCCATTTCTTACCCAGGAAGACACAAATATTTCTATGTCATAAGATATGAAAGTAACTGATAGTTTCTGTTTTTTTTTTTTTTTTTTTTTTTTTAAGAGCAGATGAAATTGTGGGGCTGAGCATCAATTTACATTGATATAAACTAATGTAGTTCCACTGAAGACCTTGAATTCAAATCTTCAGCTAGTGAAATGCTTGTTGGCATTGGCTTCTGTATTTTTGCTGTGTAACCTGTTATCTTGCTTCTGTTTCTGTTCTTCTCTGTGAGTGCAGAGAAAATGCAATATTATGGTTTGTTTAAGCCGAAAAAATAGTGTGCCAGTGCTATACAACAGAAGTTCTTCAATGTTACAGCAACTGTAATTCTTGGGTAATGACTAGCTATATGTCAATGGACTCTCCACTGCATAAAAAGGATTTAAAGAGTCCACGATGCAGTGTAGGCAAAGCAAGATAAATGTCTTTTAGGAAAAATGAAATGATTGATTAAGGTTTGCTAGGGAAATCACAACCTACTATAGTTTAGTGGATTCACACTTTAATTAGAAAAGCAAAAGAACTTGGTTTTTTTTTCTTAAAATCTCTAGGAATTCTTTACTCATTTGATTTAGTGACAATCTTAGTATAAATTACATTTTAGAAAATTGTTTTCAATTTAATAGTGTATGTGCCTTGTCTTAGTCTTTAAATGTGCGTTGTTTTTGTTTCTAAAATGTTGCTCTCTTGAAAAATACTATTCAAGTTGCATGTCATGACATGGCTGTAAGCTTACCCTCTGATTACAAATCAGTCTATGATATTAATGAGGTTTGGCATAATAACTAATTCTTAAATATATATCTCAGGAATTTCTGTGCTTACATAAGCTTTAAAAAGTCTATGTCTTAATTTCTATAAAATGTTCTGAATTCTTAAATAAGAAAGTCTATATATTTAGGGAGGAATAGGGAATCCTTTTTTTCTTTTCTTTTTTTTTTTTTTTCCCTCTTTTCTGTATTTCTGGGCATCCCCAAATGGAAATAAACAAATCTTAATGTGAAAGCTATAAGCAACTAATTTTTGTCTTCTCAAGTCATTAAAAAGGAAGTAATAATAAGTACTTGCCATATTTCAGGGTCATTCTGCTGGAATCCACAAGTTACTTAAGTCAGCCAGAGCAAGTGTGTCAAGCTAAAGAAGTAAAGCAAGAGATATTCACGTGAGTTTTAAATGTTGATTGGTAATTATACAATATTGAATTATACAGTTTTATTAATGTAATATCTTTGTGCATAGCTAGTGCATAGTAGTTATAAAGAATTTTAGATTAAAACATGATAGTATACTAGAATTATGTAATATTAAAGTATTTGTCATAAACAGTTGAGAAAAAATAAATATTTCTATTCAATTCTGAAGTGGATGAAAATTTCTGAGGATGGGTGATGAGGGAGTGGGAGCAATTTGCCACAAGGAAGATGTGGCAGAGAAATGAGTGTTTACAGCTGAAATCTTGATGATGGGGTAGAGGCCGCCATGGAGACTTAGACAGCTGAAGGAAGGGCTAATAAATGTCAGTAAGATCGACTACCTCCAGTTTATTGGGACCTTAAGAAGTAGATGGAATAGCTCTGATTCTCAGGATGAAGAAGGTCAAGATTTCAGAAACTGCAAAAGACAGGCCGTCTGGAGAACTTTGGAGTTTTGCTGGAGAATTGTGCTGGAGTCTAAAGGCTGTAGGTTCAGTAGGCTGTGGGAAAAAACAGAAATATTTTGCAAAACAGAAATGCAGAAATGAAAGTTAATTACGTGCCTGAGTAATTAGCTGACCCTAATGACCTGGGCCTAGCTGACCATAGACAGGTTTTCTGACATAGGAAATACAGAAGGAAGAGGAGAGTTCAAAGCAGCATGATTTCTTGATATTTATTACATTGTCCAAAAATTAAAGACAGTAAACACAGAAATACTTTCTCTTGGGTTATGAGTCTTGCATGTGCATCTTTCTATTTCTCCATGACTTCCATTACAAATCCCTGCTGTTTATCCTTTACAATTTTATTATTATCAAAAAAATGATAATAATATCAATATATAATATAAATCAAGCAATTTGTATTTTTGGATCAAGAAATTGGTACAGTCAGAAATCTTTATGGTGACTAAAGTGGAGAGATGTATATCAGAGAACTGAAAATCAAGGTTAGAAGGGAATGAAACAATTGCAAACCTGTTTTATTTGTTTTTGATTTTTTTTATATCGTTTTGTTGTTTTTTTAGGTAAATGCTTTCAGTGTCATTCTGTCCTCTGTGCTCTGTGAGCTGCGCTGTGTCCTGGGTGCTGCGTACTTACGCTGCCAAGTTACACATGTAACACGTGTAGACATGTGCATACGTCAGGTGTGCTGCAAGAGTCAAACTTCTTATGATTAATGATTTTGAGTTTTGAAATGAGTAGCTACATAGACTAGATGAGCTCTAGAGGTCCCTTCCAACCTTAAACATTCTGTGATTCTGTGATAGTGGCTAGTACAAAAAACTCGGATAACTATAGGCCTCTATCCAAGGGCAAACACGCATATCCATTTCATATACTGCATAATTGGGAAAAAAAATCGAAAACAGCTTGATTGTAATGATTGCATCTTCTAGTTAGATGTCCAAGTAGCTGTAGTCAGCCCACTAAGCAAATGTTGGACTGTTTTGACTGGAAATGACTTCACATCATATTTTTGGCCAAAAAGACATTTGATCTTTGCTGATGCAAAGAAGAAACAGTTGTCTGTATTCCGTGCTGTCACTTCTGTTGGCGAAATAGATGAGATTTAGAATTCAAGTACCGTTAACATATGACCCTATCTTTATATTTTAGACCTAAGCATGAGAAGGTGAACTAGAAAACTGCATAATCCTTACTCAAAATTCTCTCAGAAACAGTGATTTTCTTACACACACACACACACACACACACACACACACACACACACAATTTCATTGATGTCTACAGATTATTCCTAGTAAACTCATAGACCTAGGAAGTGGTAATGGCTTACTAATGATTCACGGGTATTCCTATTCCAAAACTATGACTAAACAGTATAATGCATTCATTTAGGTGTGGATGAATCATTAGAGTGGCTAATGGCTGCACCGGCTGTGCTGGAGAAAAAGATTTCAAATATTTTTAAGTTAGGAAAAACTCATTCTGAAAAAAATAAGGAAGAGGTAATTCATGATGCTGAGGTCAACCTTTGATGTTAGTTTATCTAATTCTTTTGCAAGGAAAATCACCAAGAATTCCAAATATTTTATATTTCCTGAGTTTTTTTTTTAACTTTCTATTCTTGACTGTTTCATGGTTCAGGGAAAGAGTTATGCTAAACAGAATGCTTGTATTTACTTATAGAATAAACAAAATTGAAGATCTAAAAGGCTGTGTTATGTCCGTACATAATATAAATTATGAAATATAGCATTAATAACCTTTTCTGCTGTCTTCAGAAAACATATTTTAGAAATACACTGCTGGGTGGTATCACAATTATGATTAATATTTCATGTGTTCAAAATTTATCTCTATTAATGTAAGTCATAGTACCTCTTTGGGTAGCTTGTTTCACTTTATATTCTAGTCTTTGTTCTGAGATCACAAGCAATATTCCACAGTATGTGGAAAGCAGCTAATATCTTACATATGACTTTTCAAAAGTTTCAGTATTTCTCTGTGCAGTAGTAAGCATTTCTTTGTATCCCTTATTTCTCTGATAAGAGGTCTCTTTGCTTTTGGCTTCCAAAGTTTATTGATGAAGTAGCTACTACTGAACTCGGTTCCCCCATGGTACCTGACGTTTTCCAGCTTTATGTTTACCTCAAAATGATATATAAAATCTGGAACTAGGAGGGACCAAGAGAGGTCATCTAGTAGATTCCACTCCAAATACAGAAAAAGAAATCATTTTCCTGATGCAAAGACATGTTGGAAAGCATAATCTCAACTCTGAAAACAGAGTTTTTGGCCTGGCTGGATCCTAGACCAAGTATTCTGAAGTGATGCACCATCGTGCATGTATGGCTACAACTACATGATCACATGATTTTGCTTTTGCATTTGACTCGATTTGTGGCATAACTACCAACATGACAAGCCTGCCACTTTATGGTATTATGTAAAAAACAATAACGAAGAACTCAGAGGTGAGGCTACTAAACTGTTTCTTTCCAATGTCCACAGAATCACAGAATATTCAAGGTTGGAAGGGACCTCTAGAGATCATCTAGTCCAACCTTCCTGCTCCAGCAGGCACACCTAGAGCATGTGGCACAGGGCGGCATCCAGGCGGGTTTGGAAGACCTCCAGAGAAGGAGACTCCACAACCTCCCTGGGCAGCCTGTTCCACTGCTCTGTCACCCTAACAGTAAAGAAGTTGCTCCTCACCTGGAGACGGAACTTCCTGTGCTCCAGCTTATGCCCCCTCGTCCTATTGCTGGCCACCAGTGAAAACAGCCTGTCCCCTTCCTCCCTCCATTCTCCCTTCCTGAACTTATACACATTAATCATATCCTCTCTCAGCCTTCTCTTCTCCAGAGAAAACAGGCCCTGCTCACTCAGCCTCCCCTCGTATGGGAGATGTTCCATTCCCTTAATCATCCTGGTTGCCCTTCTCTGGACCCTCTCGAGAAGCTCCATGTCCCTCCTATCCTGGGGTGCCCAGAACTGCCCCCAGTACTCCAGGTGCGGCCTCACCAGAGCTGAGTAGAGGGGCAGGATCCCCTCCCTTGACCTGCTGGCAACACTCCTCCTGATGCAGGCCAGGATCCCATTGGCCTTCTTGGCCACGAGGGCACACTGCTCACTCATGTTTAACTAAGTGTCAACCAGGACTCCCAGGTCCCTTTCCGTGGAGGTGCTTTCCAGCAGGTCAACCCCTAATCTGTACTGATGCCTGGGGTTATTCCTCCCCAGGTGCAGGACCCTGCACTTGTCCTTGTTGAACCTCATGAGGTTCCTCTCTGCCCAACTCTCCAGCCTGTCCAGGTCCCTCTGGATGGCAGCACAGCCCTCCGGAGTGTCGGCCACTCCACCCAGCTTGGTGTCATCCTCAAACTTGCTCAGGGTGCATTCCGTGCCCTCGTCCAGGTCATTGATGAACAAATTGAACAGCACTGGGCCCAGTACTGACCCCTGGGGGACACCACTGGCCACAGGCCTCCAACTGGACTCGGCCCCATTTATCACCACCCTCTGAGCTCTGCCATCCAGCCAGCCCTCGATCCACCGCACCGTGCACTCTAGTCCACTCTCCCGGAGCTTCCGTATGAGAATATTATGGGAGACAGTGTCAAAAGCCTTGCTGAAGTCAAGGTAGACAACATCCACGGCTCTCCCCTCATCCAGCCAGCCTGTCATCCCATCATAGAAGGCTATGAGGTTCGTCAGACATGACTTCCCCTTGGTGAATCCATGTTGACTGCTCCTCAACAGCTTCTTCTCCTTCATATGCCTGGAACTGTAAGAACTGTAAGAAGAAATCTGAATACCTTAAAATAAACCACTGCTATAATTACTTGAAGGTATCTGCACCTGCCATATACTCCATCTCAGACAGGACTCAGCACCTGGCTGCTGAGAGGCATCCTCCTTTACCAGTCTTCACCTGTAACTTGAACGGAATCTTTAGTCCATTTAATGCATGGTAACATAAATCAGTTTTAAAGTTAGCTTTGTTTTGAAAGGGTCAGATTCTCCTCACACACTCCCTCCCTTAAACTGGACCACTTCCATGACTGAGAGGCGTATTCCATGGTCTGTTGGAAGGCACTTATGTCTCTACTAGAGCACTGAGACTTTGTCATTGTGTCCACTCAGCACCTGAATAAGCTTGGTGCTGGAGATTGTATTGTATTGGCTGGAGATTGTAGGAGATTGTATTATTCTTTCATATGGTTTCCATTCATTCTTCGTGATGATGTCACTGTCGCCATGGAGGAGAACGTTTTATGTGTAAGTCCTGAAAAGACACTACTTTTTACTTAATACCCTAGCAAACTATCTGCATAGAGATTGTGGCAAAGTTAAGATTTTCTGCCAGAGTGGGTTTTTTTTTTTTTCATTAAAAGTTTTTTTTTTGAGTCAGTGTGAGGGCATATCCATCTTATCCTTCCTGTTCTTAAACACAGTGTTTTTATTCTTATTATTACACAAGTTACTATTCCTTTTGGTTTTAGAACAGTAATGAGGCACCACAAACATGTTTCCAAAACACTGTTTTCTTTCTGTTTCCTTTCATTCATCTGCATTTTCCAATCAGATGAGAATAATTTCACCTTCAGTAGAGACCTTCAATGTCATGTCAAATCAGTGAAATGAGTTTCTCTGTAATTTGTCTCTGAAAATAGGGGTTTACTCAATTCACCTCAATGAAGAAGTCTCCTGTACATTATACGGTCTCAGTGCTTAATATATTTCCTTGCAATATTCTTATTAGGTTATTTCTTCACACACAATTTCAACAGATAATTACCTATACTGTGATTCTGCTGTAGTCTCAATTTAAGCGGTCATGGGTGGGCATTCTGAATCTAAGATGAAACGCTGAAAGAGATGACTCATATGCAAAATTTATGTTTTTGTATTCATGTGAGATAAATAGTTACTTGCAAATATAGAATAAACAGTATGTTATATTCACATACTTGAGAGACCATTTTCATTTCTGAAAAATGGCCTTTAAATATAGCTATTAAAATGAGTCTCCAGGGCAACATTTCATGAGAATTTTACCAGGCCATTTATTTAAGGTTGTGATTCTTTCTTAGCCCAGCAAGATTAACAATTTATTTTAACAGAGACCCAATAGCTATCAAAAGCAATGTGTAATCGTTGTTTGCTCTAAGTTGGTTCATCAAATTTTACAGCTTTGGGAGAATGATTTTTACATATGGGTAATATTAAGCCTGAATCTAGAGCTGAAAATCTACTTGTAGTAATTCTTCGGGATGCATTACAGTTCAGTTTTGCAGCATCTGTAAGCTCTTGTGCTTGTTGTAAATGAAACAATACCATCCTTGCTCAGATGTAACTACACACTTACCTCCTGTTAAGTATGCTAGAAGCTATTTGTGAGCAAGGATTGAACAAATACAATATAAATATCTAAGTATAAAGTGATATGAGGGAAATAAAATGGGAAGAAGCAGAATCCGCTTTTCAGGTGGAGAGGAATAAACCTTTTTTTTTTTTTTTTTTTTTTTTCCCAAATATACCTGAAAAGCTATATTGCCATGAAAAGAGCAAGGTGTTCAGCTGAGGATTTTACACCCTGCTTGGATCACTGTGTGGCATAAAATTCCCACTTCAGAGAGCCAAGAGTGATATTTACCTTTGTACATATGTACGCATATATATGTGAGTGTGGTTGTAAGTTTGCTCACAAGTTTAATGTAGTTGCTGTGCTGCTGCTTTATTGCAGTTTGGTTGTTGCAGACTATTTCTTATTTGATGATTTAGATTAAAAGTTTGCATGAACTAGAATGAATTTTGATCATTGTTAACAATTTATTTGGACTAGTGAAAAATCTGTATTTTGGCTTTCACTTATTAAAAACAGGGACAACCTGCCTTGAAAACATAAGGAGTAGACTTTCTATTATTATTCAGAATGACTGTTTTGCTGGGGCTTGGTTACAGAAGTCAACTTTTTGTAAAATTGCTTCGCTATAGTAGCATGTGTTCTGATGCGATTTTACTACTGTAATGTGGGTGCCTGACTTAAAAGTCTGAATAAATTGTTATCTGAACATCCATGTTATTTTTAAGGTTGAATTTACAAAATAATTCGTATAAAATATATAAAGGCAACATATACAGGTAGATCTCTTAGAATTATTTAGTTATAAATAATAGATGAAAATGTTTCATCTGCAACTTGTGAGCTGTGTACTTTCATTAAAAAGAAAAGGTAGATGGGCCCAGTCAATATGTGTAGCCCTGCCATTTGTAATCCAAGGGCATAGTGAGAATATTTCAGTAAGTACCGTAGATGGATTATGAAAGTGCACGCATTTTGAAACAAAATTGTGTGTCTTGAAGAGTACATGGATTCATATGCAATACGTAAGTAAGAAGGATGCTGATAAACTTGTCCAAATTAATAAGGGGAATCGTTTACCCTTATGGTGCAGTAGTTTGAAAATTGAAACTGTGCTCTTTTATACTCCAAATAGAAATAATTAGACATCTTCTAAAGCTAATAGTATATCAGGCTAAATGGGAGCCATTCAGATGGATAACTTGCAGATTTAACAAATGTCAGTCTTCATAACTGTTAATATTGGAGTATGCAGTAGCTGGGTTTCCTGTAATTCTCTCTGCATGAATCAAGGTGAGGGTAAGCAATTTGCCAGCTTTGTTTGATCTTTGTTGTTCCGCTGTTCCAGATGGTAGAAGAGCCAGAGCTTAACCACAAGATAGGGTTTAAACCACAAATTCCATAGTTTGCATTAGTTCATAGTAGAGCTAGAGACTGAATCAGACCAGACCACAGCTTATTATCCTCATTTGCTAAGTAGTTCTCATTTGTATGTGACCTACTGATGTACTTTCTAATTAAATGAATAATTGTGAAATGTTTATCTATATCTGTGTAACACACACAAAGAGTAAGCTTCAAAAGAAGTTTAGGCAGGAGCAGAGCTAACATCTAAACTGTGTTCTGATAAAGGGATAAGGACTGTTTTGCAAATCAATTTCTGCGAGAAGAAGCCTGAAGACATGTCTGCAAGGGCTATGCATAGGAGTCCTAAAGTGAAAATAATGTATCTAACTGGAATTTGGTTTGGAGGCTTTCTTTTAGATTAATTTCTAGATAGCTTTTAGAGGAAAAAATAGAAAGACTGATTGGAAATCAACTGTGGGTATTAGAGGAATGCAAGGCCTGTGATCTCAGGATGCACCGGGGACAATTTCTCTTTGCATCTCTTTAGGATGTTAAACTAATAAAGAGCAAAATTAGGATTAAGTTCATTGAAAAAGGTGCTTTTGAGCAGGAATTGAGTTAAAACTCATTTTCCACTCATTATCATAGAAGGTTTTTGAAACTGGAGGGTTTTTTTATGTGAAATTGTGTATATATGATTAGTATGCAGATTGATTGAAGGTAGGATATGGTGACTGTGCTATAAATATGATTAATTTAAGTGGAAGAGAAGGCTTTTAATATCTCCGGATAGATTGCTCCAAAATTTTTTGGCTGTTTGATTGTTTTTTCTTGCAAACATTTGCTTTTCCAGTATTTATATGTAAAAAGAAGAAAAGAAGCTATCTAATATCCAGCTTCAGGTTATGTCTTTCATTTCTATTTTTTTTTCCCTTTTAGCCCAGAAAATAATGTATTAAGCTATAAAGAGAGTGCAGTACCTGAAGATACAAACGAAGAGCAAAGCAGTAATGGTTGTAAGTACCTCTTTTAAAATCTCCCTTCTGTCCCTACAGCACCATCTATAGGGACATGTAAGAGTGATGGAGTAATGGATGTGAAGGTTCTTTTTGGTAGTGAGAGGCACTCTGTTTTCCATTGTTCTATTTCTATACACAGAACAAGAATGCAGCTAATTAGGAAAATGTGTCTGTGTAATGCTTAAATCATGCTGTATTACTGCACATTCACACGTGTCATTTGGGAGTGCCTTAAATGCCGATTACCAGCACACATTGTTTACAGAATCTTTATTCTTAAGCTTCAAGTAGCTGTATCATTTTATAATTTGTGCTGTTGCGTATAAATTACCATAATAACTTATTTTAACAGCTGACCAATCCAGCCTCCTGCATGAGTTCTTCAGTCCCATGGAAATACTATGCTTGGAAGGGAGTAGTTCTGCAAACTTAGAGATTGACTTTCTTCCCTTTAACCTGGAAAAACGTTACTGCACTGTCTTTCTTGTTAATGAACAGGTAAGAATAGCCAGTGTATTCTGCACATTACAAAGATGTTATGTACATGCTGGCTTTTGAAAATAAAAATATTTTCTTTCATTTCTTGGTTAAAATACAGTATACCTATAATTCTGAGAGGAAAATGCTATGTAAGAGATTGATTAAAGGATAGACAGCATTTTTGCATAAGGTTTACATTAATGAATGTAAACTGAATTTTACTGCCCTTTAATCCCCTGTGTATTTATGGAATGTCATCTTTTACTGTAGAATCATTACATCTAATAATACTGTAAGGAATGTTACTTTGGCTTTCCTAGACAATTAACTACAAAACAAATAAGAAATTTAAACCATTTGCCTTAATGGGAGCAAGAATGATGCTTCAGTCTTAGGCTAATGAAATACGGAAAGGGAAGGAATATTGTCTTTACGGTACTGTACTTTCCTCTGCATTTTTTGCTGTATCAAAGACATGCTGTCATTTAAAGTAACATATTTTTCCTTCTCTCTCTCTCTTTTTGAACTACCTATCTGATTTCCATTCAGTCCTTGTTATTAATGTAGCTATAAAAATTTTTGAGCAGTGCATGCTGACTTGCAGTTTCTATTAATTAATACAATCTGTCGTTTGCCACATGTATGTAACTGAAATTGTTTTAATCAAATTACCAAGGCCCATTGGCCAACTTTCACAACTTAAAATGTACATGCCACCTTTTTGTAGTCCTTTATCTTACTAGTCTGTCTTCTTATTTCTGTGTCTTTATAAGTCCATCTTTTCACCTACTAAACTTCTCTCTTGTGTTTTGCCAGATGGCAGTGTTTGCCAACACCCTGCTTTTTCTCAGATCTTTTGTTTTTGTGGGGTTGATCTCAAGGCTTGCATTGAGACTCCTACCATATGTTTGCCTTCCCTCTATGCAATTACACACATTTAGCATTCTCTCTAACACACATTTAGCAAATGAGGAAAGAATTGGGCTCAGAGCTATGGAACAGTCATACACCTCAGGTGAAATGGGAAAGATTATTTTTGATAGCCCCTGAAAACTGTATCACCACAGAGGTCACAGAGAAAAAAAATAACATTAGACACAGCAAACGACCAGTTTTTCTTCTCGTAGCAGGAAGCATTCACGTCTCTGAGAGGCTATTGCTGTGCTTTTGCTGTACTTTATATATTAACTATTTCTGAAACTCCCACTCCTTTCAGCTAAAAGCAGTAATGCATTTAGAGGCTGCTGAACACGCAGAGCTTTTGATAAATAGCACTTCAGGTTAGAAAAATTAAGTCCCATCCACATAATTGTATTGTATGTAAGACAATGTGGTAAATCTCCTAGGGGAGGAGGAAACTACAAAATAGCTAGAGTGTTTTTAGAACTATTCAGTAATGGCACAGGAAGAAAGTGGCTCTTAGGTATTGTGCATATGGCTGCAATATTCCAATCATACAATTTTCTCATAGAAAAACCACCATTTGGAAGATCAAGGGGCTTCATGTAGTTATGTAGTTCTTATCTATTATGGACTTAAGCTGTGTGTAATCTTACAACACATTTAATTCACCGCTTTTTTTTTTTTTCCTGTCAACCTTTCTTACGCAGTGTGACGGATGAGCTAAAACAGTATTCAGAGTACAAATGTTGTTTTATTGCGATCAGTGAAGGTGCTGAGATGCACATTACTTGTTAATACTTGAATCTGACTAGGAATACCATCATTAGATAAACAACATTTATGTGATAAAAGCAAGAAGCTAAATTGATTCCATTCTTTTTTTTTTTTTTTTGGCTACTTAAACATGTTCCTTATTTATTCTTTTTCTGAAAGAATGTGGGTATTAACTCTCCTAGCGTTTGTAATGACAGGTTGTTTGTAACACAGGGTGTTGATAACGTTTCTCAAGGATTTGTTTCAATATTTCTTTTTGCTTAAGAAAAACGACACTGACATTCTTCCATTTATTAGCAAAGACCTTCTCAGAGAAGAAATTGTGTCGTGACCAACAGATAATCAGGTTGCTTTTATCTGTTGATATTTGTTTCTAGGAGTGAATTTACATGTCAGCAACGCTTGTTTTCAGTGATAAATTGTTATGAAAACATAATTTAAAAGTGACAGTCCAGACTTTCACAGATGACTGCCTAATACAAAATATAATAATGTTCTAATGCTTAGCTAGGTGTTGTTCTTAATTTAAAGATGACTGTAATGGAGAACAGCCAATCCCTAGCAATTGTATGTTGTTTTGAAAAATCAGTTAGAAATGGGATTATAATGAGTGGTTGACAATAGTTTTTAATATTATAATAATTACTTTATTACTTTTTTTTCTGTGCTATCCTATTTGCATCTGATCAAACTAGAAATATAAGGCATTAAACCATAAAAACTACCTAAGCTCTCAACATGCCCATGCTTTTCCAAAGCATCAAGAAAAACCTTAGCTCAAAAAAACCCAATATTACATTCTGTGGATGTCATCAGAGCCAGACTCTTTGAAAGTGAAGAGGGAAATAAGAGAGTTTCTCCTCACACATGTGCATGTTGATGTCAGTGATGATAAGGAAAGTAAATGGTAGTAAAATGGCATCCTAGCAACCAATACCTTCATAAAATTAGTTGTATGCTGAGAGCTTGTTAATGGCTTTTATGGAAGCAAAACACTGTGTCAAACAGGAATAATTCCTGTTTAAATTGGTTCCCAGAAGTGGCTATTAGTTTCTGTGGGAAACCAATTTTGCTCTAGTTTTGTTTAATCCCTCTCAAAAAAAAAAAAAAAAAAAAAAAATTTGTCTGAACTAACGGAAAGGAGAAAATGCCATCGAGCTTCATCTCTCCTTTTGCTGTGTCAGAAACAAATGTGCGATATTTTCAGCCTTAGCATAAAGGGTAGAATAAAACGGAGGCCTATCTTACGCTGTTGAACCATTGCATAAAATTGCATTACTGAGTATTAGTGAGATGAACTAGATGATAGAAATAATTTCCCTTCCATGTTGAATGAAGATTAAATGACAGAATTTCTAGGGCAGGATTTCACAGGGTGTAGCTTACAGAAATCTGGAGGATGTCTTGTTGTAAAGCATTTAATCCTTAACTGTATGACCAGCAGAAGCTAATGTGGTCCAAAAAAAGTTTTTAGGGAACTATGAAGTCGTCAAGGCAATAATAGTGGTATATCTATTCTTTATCTCTGTCTGAATTAGATTGATAAACTAATCTTGAAACTTCAGTTACCTTATTTAGCTATCTTTTATTTTTGAATGTTCTGATTGAAATCTTTAGTGTGGAATGTTTTTAGTTTTCTTTTGGTAATACTTTTCTATCTTACACTTGTATCTTTTTGATTTCTTCAATTCTTCAGTAGTTCAAAACACTTCTTTTTTTTTCTCTTTTAACTAATTTATCCTTCCTTCTGTGGAAAATTACTCTCTTTTGTTCTAGGTTATTTTTGTGTTTACTCTGATGCTTCAGTAGACTTTTTTGTTAATTTTGATGAAATGAATAAAATTTCTTAACTTTCTTCTGAAGGAAAATTTAGAAGAATTTCCATGATGCTATCCTGCTTTTACATCTGCTCTTTTTTCTTTGCCAGAGATTAAAAATGCTACTGACTCAAAATTACTGTATATGCTTTTTAATAAAAAATTCTTAACAGCCATGAGCAATAGTCATCTGGTTTGTACAGTTAAAATATACAGGGTTTAACTGCACATGATTAAATTTCATTTTATCATTGTATTTATTGTTCAGAGTATCCTTATTCAATTAAATTCATTGTAAGTTGGAAAGTCTGTATTACCACAGGAGATTTTGAAATGATTGTTTTGTTTAAAAGTAGTTTTAAAATAATGAGTCTCCTGAATATATAAATAATTTTGTAAGTCAAATCTTCAGGTTTACTAGATTTTCTTTAGTTTTAATGTTTTGCCATTTGTTTTGCTAGAGCTGCTTTCTGAATAAGGATGCATGCATTTCTGTGTTTCAGATTGGAGAATTTGTATACCTGGTAGAGGGACAAGGTGATTTCCCTTTGCCGTCACCACTGCTGCCAATTGATAGTCCAAATGTCCTGAATGTGAGCAGTACACTAGAAGGTAAAGTACTACAGTTGAGGACAGTTCATTTCATGGACCAACTCAACAAGATGGATAAGTTATCCTTGAAACAAAATGCACAAGCAGCTGTCAGTCATGCAACCTTCTCTACTATGTGTGAAAAGCCAGCCAGAGTCATGTGGGATGATTTTGCCTGACATGCCACTGAAATGACATACCAGAAATCCCTAATATACTCTTCACTGGTTATTATGAGCTATTTAATCTTATGGCCTCAATTGCTGCCCTGTTGAGATGAAAACCAAGGCATGTGAAACACTTCTTGTACGCGCTTGGCCAAGCTGGATGGTAACACTGCCGTACCCCGGGGCTGCTGCTATGTGCACATATGCACCTTCATCCACTGTTCTGCTTTCCAAAATATTTTCTTACCACACATTTTAAAGTGGAAAAACAAAAAGAGTATATAGGTATGATATGTGTAAAAGACACTGAGAGCTGTAGATCTCAGAATAAGTGCATTTGAAAACATTGCGAGTTTAACAGGTATAATCAGAATTACACTGCTGGTGGCTTCATCTAGGAGGAATAGAAAATCATCTAGAGCGATAGAAGGTGACATGTTGGTGCCAGAAAGGCTTTCTAAAGCTGATGTTACCACTCTGATAGCATGTAGTAATAGTAGTAATACTGAAACCCGGGGTTTTTTATTAACTAGGACAAGATACCTTTGATTTGGATTTTGGGCTAACGTTCATTTTTATTTTCTCATTATTATGAGTATACATATATATTTCTTGAGTAAATAGCATGTATTATCAAATGCATATGAAAGAAATTTTGTCTTTGGAGGTTTGGGATTTAAAAAATGTTCTGCAATTACTTCCGACAGCACCTGAGAAATGACAGTTATTACAACTTTATTACAAATTTATTTCTTTTTACAGGTCCGAATAAGATGGAGCCTATTTTGCAGATGAAATGTGGTCTTGCTCAGACTCTGGAAGAAAATCTGAGGATTCCACTGGTCAATGAAGCAAGGGAAATGGCTCTGGCCATTGCTGCACAACAACAGATGTCAGCTCTGGAGTATGAAAGAAGAAAGATCACGGGCACTCTGGAGAGCAGTAGCGTCCGAGTTGCCGTTGCATTGCTAGGACTATCCAGAGTAGAGGTAAGAAAAGCAGTTAGCTGCTACTGTATCTTTTTGTTGTTGTTGTCCTTGATTTATAGGTCTGAATGTTCTGAAGATGTCGCCTTATTCGTGTTATTAAGCAGTGCTTCCTTTAATAAATCTTAGCTACAGCGAAAAAACACCATCAGCTTCTTAGTTAGCTTCTGGAAGTGCACCTTGGTTAAAGAACCTTTCACACACTAAATATTTCACACACTAAGTCTGTGTTGATGTATCCTCTTAGGAATGTTCTCATAGGGAATGCAAATTCCTAAATGAAATTTTTCATTTTTTTTTTAATTAAAGAATAGATTTGGTGAATAAATCAAGGCGTAGGAAAGATTTTCTTGCTTCCCAATCAATCCAAAATAGTTTTGGAAAACAGCAAATCTTCCTTATAAGCTATAGCTCCCTATGTATGCATAAGTTTAACCTAGGGATAGTTTTCTAAACATTCAGAACGTAGGGTGTTTCTTTAAAAATCAGTTTGTACTTGTGAATAAATTTATAATAGCAACGTTGCCACCTAAACAAGCTTTTTTTCTTGTATAAAGTTCAAATGTAACCTTATATGGCTGATAGTCAAACACTGAGTTTTATGGTTTAATTTCCCTTGTGATCCTGATGTTACCTGGCCTCCAGTGGCTTACTGTGCCAGCTTTGCATCTGGACTGCTCCCAGAGTGGGGCTGCCCGCGCTTCATCATTTCCAGTACTAAGCAGGAAAACATTTTTCTGATGTCTTGATGATATTGCTAAATTTATATGTAACTTTAATTTTTCTTTACAGGTAATGAAAGAAATGTACAACAAATTAAATGAGGAAGAAGAAAGTAGATTTAATCTGTGACATTTTTGGTAGGGCAGGATTTTTAAACATGTAATCTAGGATCAAATATTTTCCTTTTGGATGTTAGTCTCTTCCCTGCTGTGGTGACATTTAATAAGCTTTTCTTAATTAAAGGCCTGTAATACCACCATCCCTTAACAAATACATGATGAAAGACTTGACTGCTCTGAAGTTGTGGAATTAATCAGGGTTGAGAACAAAATAGGAGTAGTCTGTGTACCACTAGGTATGCTAAGACCTAATGTGGTTTCTGACATGGATTACAAAACAGTGGAGGGTGATTAGATTACTTGTGAAATATGTAAAGATGGATAGTAATACTGAATCAGTAATAACATGAGAGGTGATATTAATATGTAGAAAGATGTATTTTACAGCATTCACATGAAGTCTTTTCATTGTTCACGAGAAATAAAATGGAGTTATTCTGATATATGCCGATGTAAAAAAAGACTTCATACTGTGAAAAAATATTTCCTGGTATGGTAGCTCACTGTACAGATTAAATGATGAAAAATCTTCCTTATACTTTTTTATCATAAATTCTCACTTACTGCTTGCATAAAAACAACAGTATACAAATTCTAGTGACATTTATTGAAAAAACTTTCGTGAGGGAGGACTGCAATTTAGTTTAAAGATGAAGTATGCTTTTCGTTTGTCTAAATGTCCTTACCTACCACTAAAAAAGACCATCCAAAGCACCTGCAGTTTGATGAATTTATGTGTGGCCATGAAATCCTTTGGAAGGTATAGATCAGAGCTAAATCTTGCATCTCTGGAAATTTTTTACTTTTTCATTTCCTTTTCACCTTTCTACATAGTTCTTATAGGTAGAACTGTGTGATAAAATAGATGGGAAGGTGTCCTTATGCTATTACTGCTTGATGGTCCATCTGCTTATGTAAAAATGAGTGAATAACTAAATAATTGCACATTTTTTCTTTCTTATTAAAGTGTATGTTTTAGTCCTGCCTGCTTACTCATAGAAAATAGGAATAAATATATATTTCCAGAGTTACACTGAATGTGTATTTTCAGTAACAGGCACTGTATGTTTTTATTTGACCAATCTATATGTATGGATTAAAATCCTAGATATTTGTGCACTGTGTTTTTACAGATGCTTTTCCTTCCTGGAAACAAAAGAATACATTTTGATCGTGTCTTTGTTGATTAGAGATATGAGAAGAAAAATGAATTTTTATCTCTTTTTAGTGAAACATGCACGGATCAGAACGTACTTTGTTTCTGAGTTGAGTACCACTATTGGGCCAGCATTACATGATTTACAAATAGAGTTGCATGGAAAAAAGAGCTAATGAAGAGATAGGAAAGAAGGACATTAAAACAATAAGCAGCCAAAGATACTGATATCAAAGATGAAGAGAGAGAAAAAAACCCAAAAGATTAAAATGAGCATCCATTTCCTGTTTAGTCCTATCAATATGCACTCCTTTTACATAAAGGCATTGAAAGAGGAATTGAATGCTCCCTTGTCTAGCTCTGACTGTGAATGGGGTTTTTTTTTTGCCTTTTAATATAAAAAAAGGCAAGTTCTAAATTTTATTTTTTATTTCTACATTTTACGAGTATTAATTTCCTACCTCCTGTTTAAGTATTTAATTACTGTAATTCCTCTTAAAATATTTTGGGCAGTTGTAAGAGGAATATACCTCAGAACTCTGTGTCACAATCAAAGTTGGGGCTGCCATTATTATAAATAATAATAAATTGCTTTTGTTGATGATGAATAAGAGAAAGTTGTCAGTGAGAAGCTTAGGTGAATATAAATAACAGTGGAAGAAAAAAGACATCTAGAAATAGGAAATAACACAGGGAAGATGAGCATATGTGGTTGAGGTTGATATTGCCAGAGGCTGTGAAGAGAGTGAAGTGAGAAAAAAGAACCCTGGAAAGAACAGAATAGCCCTTTCATTTGGATATGTCAGGGGGAGGATGCTGCAGCCAGTGAAGTGGCATTCAAAATGACGTCTTTTAGCTTTCTTTTCTCTAGTTATCCATCTAGAGCCTCCAATTGCATCCAGTATCTAGGTACAGTCTCTTTCGTTTAGTCAGGAATGAAGAAAATCTCCTTGTATAATTAGACACTGATAGGAAAAAGAGAGATGTTCTACAAGAATCCCAGAGCTAAAGCTTAAACCTCCCACTGCTGTCTGAACTGGGCTCTCTGCAGACATACAACCAGACTTACATGTTTTTTTTCAGTGGACCATTGGATCTCATGGAAGAATTGTGATCTAATCTAGATAAGTAAGTTGTGATCTTATAGGTAAACTGTAAAAATGTTTTAAACTAGATTTTTTTTGTCCTCTCTTGGAAGGTGTGGCTTGTGTGAGAATGGACACCATGCCTCATATTCTACCCATAAACAGCTGTAATCAAGTTATCCAAGTTTTCATCTTTCTTGCTCTGCATGTGATGACTAGCCAACATTGAATATTTTATCTTAAATACATCATGAGAATTCTGATGGATTTTCTTATGTTTTGCTCAAGAGAAAATGAGTGGAGAATTCGTGTGTTTATAGCTTATGGCACCCATGGCTTGGCAAATGTGACAGAATACCATGCGACATTTGTCTAGCTCTGCTTCCAGAGGCGTGTGCTCTTCATCCCCAGGGTTCAGGAACAAGGATTTTGTTGAGGCTTGCACAATTACAAAAAAGTTGTGAGCTAAGTTCTCTGCAGTGCTGTTTGTGTCCTACTGTTATGGGTTTTCTTAAATAATTTTTTGAGGTATCCTAAGGAAATAAAAAGTCAGGGATGATCTTATTAAAAAAAAAAAAAAAAAAAAAGAGGTATTTGGCCAGCTTTCAGTTTGTTGAATTTGTATAGCGGACCGCCGTCTTGTGTTGTGGTATTCCATTTATTTTTTTGGTTGTGGGATCAAGGCAGTTTCAAAAATCACAGGGATTTCAGAGAAAGTCAGGATACACGGTTCTTTCATACATGAAGAAGGATTTTTAGAAGTCTTTTCTTGGAAGGAAGAAATGGAAAATGCAGAATGCAAGGAATAAGTGAGATGCAGCAGCACTCTGGAAAGTATGCAGTACATACTGGAAAGAAGCAGAACTATTGCATGATGGATCAATGTTTATCTGAAGTGTTTTGCATATTTTATCTGTTCTTGGACATGTTACCCTTCGAGGCAATAGAGTTTAGTCTTATGTGTGTTTATGGGTGCCCCTCCCTGCCCCTCACTATACAACTCCTTAAAGCAAGTTGCAGCTCTCCTACTGAAAGGATTATCCTTCTTTAACCTCTGGCAAGATACCAGGACATATTTGAAACATTCATAGACTAACCATGGTTAGAATACTAACCATCTGAGCTTTTTTTCTCTAATATATTTTAAAAGACGAGAGAACGTGAATATGGATACTTCAGTGATTTTAGAAATCATGAAATATGTCTTTGTGATAATTACCATTTAAATGTACCAGGAGCTCAGCTGAAACTCTTTTAGTCATATTATGAGTTAAGATTTTCCAAATCTTTTTAATCTACTTCTGTGTAACGTATTTTAGGTGACCTTGCTTGAGCGGGGAGTTTGGACTAGATCATCTCCAGAGGTCCCTTCCTACTTCAGTTATTCTGTGATATTGGACTTTTATTCAACTGAAGTTTTTATTTTATATTTGGCTATGTAGAAGATCAAAATCAAATTTTAACTGGTAAATGCATGTCAATAGATTGGTACTTCCTATTACAAGTGAGAAAGATGCATGTTCCTCCTCCAACCCCCCCAGTGAAATCTTTTATCATTTGTATTCTATCAGAGAGAAATGGACTTTATTATTAACATTACAACTGAATCATCAGCACTCATTAATTCTATGTTTGTGTGCGTGTATGTCAATGGGAACTATAAGGGAATTTCCACTGAAATTAAGGAAGAGTGGGTTCAGTTTCTTAACTTACATCACATTTCATCTTGTACCTGCCCATGAATTATTTTGAAAATATGAGTGATGCAAGAGAAAAAGTAACTGCATTAATACTTTGTTTAGGTGAATATTATTGTAGGCATATGCATCTGTCCAGTCATACTTTGTGGAACAAGTGTCTTTAATAATCATTTGCTCCTATATTTTATGAATTTTATAAAACACTATATTGGCCACTGAAGTTTAACAGATTGCCACATTCCATATGGAGTTTGTGCTTAACAGTGTATTGACAATTTGGACAGATAAATAATCAAAACCAGCAACAACAACAAAAAAACCCAGATGTAACTTGTAAACCTGCAAGTGAATGTGAGTTCTCTATTAAACCAGAAAACAAAATAAAATTCCTGTTGATTTGAACAACAGGTTGACAGTGTTCTTTTCAAGAGTAATCTTAATCCTTATGAAAATTCTTTTTTTCTTGTTCACAAATCTTTCTTTGAATTTCTCTGTTTTTAAATCATAGTTCTCCTACTTCTACACTACATAGTTTTGCTTACTTTTAAATATTTTCAAAATAATTGGAATCCTTCCTTAAGAATCAGTGTTTCTACTGTTTGTCCCCTTGTGATAATGCTGAAATGCCTACTCTCCTGGCATTATAGAAAGCCACCAGGCTTTGATTTTTCATAGCGTAAACATATACTTCCAAGTCAATATATTTTTGGCTAGTTGAACTGATAATTGCTAATCGCTGCAAATATACTGTATTATTGGATTAAAAATGGTTAATTTGGGGCTATAGTATGTTACATTATTGCATTATTTCTGTAAAATTCTTTCAGATGTTGAATTTGATTTTCATTGAAATGACCTATTTTGAACTTCCCTTTATGTACTGTCCTAATCTCTTACTAATAGGTTTCATGCTGTGGATTAGCAAGACCTTTTCCCAAGAATAGGAGCTTATTTGTCCCTCAGATTTTTGCTTTATGCTTTGATTTCTAAACATACTGTGTCACACCAGTGTTGAAGTTAGTTCAAATAACTATACATGTATTGCTCACAAAAATAGGAAAAAAAATCCTTATTGAAGTTTTTAGCATTTAGAAACTTTGAGAAGTGGAAAAAGAAACATCTGTCTACAACTGATATCAAATAGATTTTTCTTTTAGTGATTTTTCTCCTTCCCTGAACAACTATAAAACCTTACAGAGTGAGGAGGCAGACTGAAAAATCTCGGAATGCATTGTTTTTAAGTGAATATTTCAGATGCTTTATATCTAAAAATTTATCGAGGACCTTTCTTTTTATAAGGATCTCTTGCCGTTTCTAGAAGTTGCCTGATTACCAATTCAGTTATAGAAGTATGCCCTTAAGCTTGTATAAGTTTACATTCCTTGATCTGCGATCCCGTCGCGAGGATGACTCCTGTGTGCACATTCCTTCTTCACCTGCAGAGAGATGCGCTCTTGCAACCCTGTAAATTGCCCCCAGAGCCGAAGTCGGTGGATTACAGCGTCCAAGTGAACATGCAGGAGTTCTTTCAGCTTCCTGAAAAGGTCTCTGTTCCAGTGCTAGCATCAAGCAGGGTTCACTTGAATGTTCCTTCAGAAAAAGACCTTTCACCTCAGAAAACAGGTAAGAGCTGCTTGTTGCTGTAAGTTGCAGCTTAAACTGCATGTGATGGTGAATTGAGGGAAACAAAATTGCAGACAATTTTGTTTTGTTTTGTTTACTTGGTTTACTTGGTTTGCATTTCCATACCACCTTTGCTAGCTGATGATAAAAGCATCAGGTGTATCTGATGACAACTCTTGACAAGTGATTTTTGGTTTTGGTAGTTAAAAAGAGTCATTTCTTCGTAATACTGGTAAGAGATTAATTTATAGTCAGTTCACTACTGTGAAGAGTTTATAGCTCTCCACATTTCCACCAATGGTAACAGAGTAGTTTTCTGCTTGAGCTGCATGGGCAAAGTGATCCTGGTCATGTTATCAGAAAAGACCCAGAAAATAATGCCCCAGTTGATGTTGCTGACATCAAAGATTCCGCTGTGCAGGAAGTCCCTGGGTTTTTGTACAGCACAAACAAAAATCTGACATAGCTGCTACAGACTACTCAGTATTGCAGGTCCTCTGTGTTAAGGTTCATATGCTTTATCTTTTCTTTCAGCATTTGGTAGAAAGAATCATTTTACTTGGACTGCATGTTCCTGTAACTTCTTGTGGCACTAGGAGCTCATGTTTGTTTTCATACATCTCCCATGTATGTGGCATCCCATGTATCAGTATCCCATGTGTTTGTTTTCTGGGTAAAAAATGATAGGTGATTTTTAGCAAATTTGTTTGTTACAGATTTCTTCTGTCTGGAGTAGAGAGCTGTGCTGGAAAACCTTTTAGGGTATCTTTGGGCACATTTTTAGGAAGAAGAGAAAAGCTACTGCAATAGCAGCAAAACTAGTCTGGAGTATAACTACAGGATTAGTACAGTTAGTAAGACTGTAGAATAGATGTAACACAGGTTGGTGGAACAGATATAACACACAGTGGAAACTAAAAAAAAAAGCCTTGAAAAACAGCATATTTAGATCATAGTTAGAATCCGTTTATCCTTAAGAAGTAATTACCTATGTTAGCAATAATCAATATAGGGGTCAAATAAAATTATAGTGGCTTTGTAGAGTAGTATAGGAGATTTTTGGATTATACTGTACAGGAGAGAAACAGCAATTGGGAAAGATGGGAAGCTCTGCAAACACAAATCCAGTAAGGGCATAATGTTACGGGCATCGTGATCTCTGAACAAAGGTTACTGACTGACCAAAGAGCAGGTCACAGTTGCTTAGCAACCTCTCAAATTATCTTTACAGGTTCAATGAGGATGAGCATGCATGAACATTTTAAAATACTAATTGCTAAACTGCTGTGAAGAAAGTAAATTACTTGAAAACAGGGGTTATTTTTATATTGGTTGTTGCTTTTCTTTTTTAATCCATCAATCAAAAGAAGTGATAAAAATATCAGAGAAAGGGAAGTACCTAGGGGGAAAATCAGAAACTAAATCATATATCAGGGAACACAATCTTTTAGATATTTATTTCCTTTCTAGGACACTTAAATAGTTCCTTTCAGGAAGAGAAATCTCAGAGATATTGCAGAGAGCTAAGTGAGGTTTTGGGAATGAATTTAGAGAGGTGGTGAGATGAAGAACAGCTAAAATGGGAAGATGAGATAATCAGCTTATAGTGTGAAAACGGTGGAAGGATTCATTCCATGGAATGAAATGGACAATGCAGTTAGATTCAGTGTATTTGTTTTGCTAAGAGGGAATTTTATAGTCAATTTGAAAATACAATATTCTGACAGAAATCAGCAGATGGTGTTCCTGTAAATAAAGACAAAATGTTGGTCTCATCGGGAACTTTTCTGTTATCTCAAGAAGAGGCAGGATTTTAGCCACTGTGGCACTTTGCTTAGGATGAGAATAACTGCTTCTTCAAAGAAATGTCAGTGCTTGGCTTTATGAAGAAAAATAAAGGTCAAACAAGATAACTAAAATCAATCCTTGCTTCATAAATTCTTAGATTACAGTTGCAAAAGGGTCTGGCAAATATTATAAGAACTTTGTCAAATGGGAATTAAAGATAAAAATCAATGCCAGATAACATAGTTAAATCTTGTAAAAAAAGATCTTTCTACGTTTTTGGCAGTATTGCAGATATGAAGGGGAAAAAAAACTAATACAGAATTCTTGCGTTATTTCTAGTGTGACATCCGTGCAAAACATGGACTTGTATGGAAAGAAAATCATTCATTAGGCAGATTTAAAAAGGAGTGTGCTGATGCAGCAGCAGCTTCATTTGTTGCTAATAAATAACTAATATTGTTATTGGAGAGTCATCAGAAAGTGAACCTTCATGGCCCATTTCCGGTTGAACATTGTTATTTTTTTCATTAGTAATGCAGAAAGTGTTCATTAAGTTAGCATTAAGTTAGTAGTGACACAGATTTTTTGAAAGAATGGTTAGTTGGAATTGCTCTGTAATTACAAGGATAATACATAAATAAAGTATATTTATTTTAGTGCAACCAAAATTGTGGTAGTATGTGTGGGAGTAGAGGCTGGATGGTTCGGAGTATTTGGATGTTAAGTTAAGAGACTGTTTTTGGAAAACAATGACTGCAAAAGGCATGGATAAAATCTCATAAAATTGTCATCTCAACCTGAGTTCTTAGAGCTAAAATGACCAATTAGATCTATTGGTAAATTAAAGAGTACACTCTTATACTATAGAGGGAAGCTGGCTGATAGTCTTTGTCTTAGCATGCAGCTACTGTGAGAATGTCCAGAATATCTATGGTAGAACTGAAGTTCTATCATATGGTTGAACTGAAGTTCAGAAGAACTGAACTTTGATGTCTGTAAGAAGCTTATGGAAATTCTGAAAGAATTTAGAAACCATAAAAACCATAAACCATAAAAAAGTTCCAGTGATAGAAAATAAGGTTTAGGGCAAGAGTAACAAGCTATCACTTTCAACTCTATATGATTGCCACGTGCTTCAAATACAAGGGCCCCTATGGTCAGTGTTCTGTGACCAAAAATAGTCTATTGATACTTACTGGCGTGGAAGGAGATAATTTAGTAAGGAGGCTGCCTTGAGCAGCTTGCCTAGAGATGATCAGCCCAGCCCCATTTCATACCGAGATTGTTGGTGCAACTTGGCCCTGTTCGAATTGTTCCTGGTGTTCCTGGCCTCTTTCTTTGTGATGAAAGGAATAGTACAGAAGAAGGTTACGTAGCACAGTGATTGCTCACCCTTGATTTAAAATAGGATCCTCAGGGGATTCTGTTTCTTCGACTCATCAAAGTAGCCGGGGAAATAACTCAATCCCTGTTTATACCACTGGTTAAGAAGAAAGGTAACTAACAGTAGAACTTTTCTGTTTTATAATCAATAGAATAAGTTTAATTATCTAAAAACTCATGTTACCCGTGCTTAATCTTAACATGAGCTTTTTCTTGGCAACATGATAGTAGAGAAGGTGAATGTCATTGGAGTTAAAGTAATGGATCCAGTTTTTAAGTAGCATCCAACACAACATCCAAAAACATCTCTGTACTTCACCAAGCAAACAAGTTTTCTTGGATAACAAACAAGTTTTCTTGGATATGGCATCCCTAGAGATGGTTTGACTGGCTTGTCTCAACTCTCTGTTCACTTCCAGAGCAGAAATTGTCAAAATTACCCTTGGTTGCAGGTTTAAGCTAGTGGATTTTATCCCTTTTTCTTCCTATCTCTCTCCCTGTTAGCTAAGAAGATGTGAGGTTGAAGTCTGGTAAGAAATTGTTGTGAGATTACTGAAGCTGTAAGTACAAAGAATGGTAGTCACTATTGAACAAAGATGCTAAAAGACTATTTTAGATTATAGCCTACTGTAAAAGTTTTACTCGTTATGCAGCTATAATAAGATATATTTGCTCTTAAAATTCATTCTTAACAAACCTTTCCTTTCTACTCTGCTTATTTTTCTTTCCCAATAATTTTTTGATTTCTGATCAAAAAAGTCAGAGAAAAGAAAGGGTTATAACAAACTTTCCAGCAGCAAAATCAGCACAATTTAATAGAGCGGCTGTCATCATACGCAGAGTCATTTCCTGATGAAACAGGTTTCTATTTACCCATGTGATTTAAGATCCTATTGTATTTTTTCCCCTGTGGTCCCTTTTTGTTGCTATAAGAGTATGGTGTAAACTAAATGTGGAAATAATAAGATATAGTTATGTTACAAGCACTTCTTTGCATACGGCATGCCTGCTGTTCATGTTGGAATTGGGCAAGTTTACATAAGGATAATTTGTTTTTAGACAGTTTACATACTGTCTAGCATAATAGGATGTAAATCCCAGAAATTCTACCAGTAGTAATGAACAGTGCATAGATTTTACAATATAAACACTTTTCATTTGATCAGTTTGCTATGATCAGTTTGATCATTTGATCAGAGAGCAGGCTTACTTAGGAGAATCCAGTAAATATACATATTTGTGTAGTAATTAGATATCTGATACTTACTGGCAATTAAGAAAAGAAGAAGAAATTCCAGATCTTAGAATGGTACCTCAATTAAGTATCCTGTTCATTAACAATGAGGATCTCAGTTTTACATTCTGGCCCAAAATCGACATCTTCAGCAGTAGCAACACGGCAGCCCTCAGACAGCCCCTGATAGTTGTTGAATCTGTGCTAATTTATGGGAATGCTGCCCATGTAATATTGATCTGATCTCAGTGTTTTTCTTATGTAGGCTATAATTTTAGTTAGAAATACGGCATGCTGTGATCTTATTGCTGTACTTTGCAATAAATAACATGCAGAAAATCAAACAAACGATATCAATATTCGGTTATTATTTGGCATAGTTCAAATTATTTACAATGAAAAATTCTTCTTGATATTTTCTTTGTTTGTTTTCTTCAGTCATGTCAGACAACTATGTGCAGATATTTACCTTATACCATCTGTAGTGCACATTTTTCTTATTCTAACAATATCTTCTAGTCAAAGTATTTTTTTTTTCTAAATAAATATGTCCTTTCTCTGACTTCTAAATATTGTCTCATACACTTGCTTAGCA